AAGGAGAGAGTCAGTGATATCAGTACAATGTACATGTACATGAGTGGGTAATCATTGTATAGTAGATTCCTTAGCACAGCATTACACATCATTTACTGGTAGTAAGAGTACGGCAAAAAATCGGAAAATATTCCAATTAATTATTAATGGAAAAATATGTTGTTTATCCTTAGATACAGTGTGGGTGTGTTACCATTATTAATAATGAAATACATTACATGTAAGTACTATCAGTCAGTAATTAGAAAACAGTAAATACAATACAAGAGAATGAGCCACCACCAACACTATCTTACACTATACCATGGACTCACTCAAAAACCAACTGCTTCATTCATTGAAGTGGCAGCTAGTACAAGCCATTAATAGACACTTTAACACAACATGAATCACACACAATAACTGGATCAACTATTAGTAGCAATAGACTGGATAATAGACTCATCATCATCTCATACTGGGGAGTGTGTGTGTGTGTGTGTGTGTGTGTTACAGTACATGGTCTTATGTAAATTTTGCCAAAAATTGAAAGCAGAGAATTTTTCATTTTTATGATTTTTTTTCTGATGCATATACATGTACTTATGTTGTGTAAAAAGTTTGAGCTGGTTTCAATAAAAATTGAATTTTTTTACAAATTTTATGAAGTTCAAATTATAATCCCCTGGGGGTCTACTTCAGTAATTAGTACCAGACCCCTTGTTCCTAAATTTCAATTATTTATACCCATTATCAATGATACAGTATTGGACCTCATTCATTGTATGTTAGTCCTCACTAAATCAATTAATGTTTAACATAATGTCACCTCCTCCACATTATAATGAGACACACATTAACTGATCAATCATTAGCTGATACTAATGGACTAATGTTCATATACTGTATATTACATACAGTCACTAGTCAATAGTGTCTGCTGGAGTAGAGGAGGAGGTGTCTGTTATAAGGAGTGTATCTGTTAATAGTATCACATTGTACTAATAATAGTGATAATAGTATTTAATAATAATTGTTTTTAATAGTTGTTTGTCGTTCCCAAACTGTTTGACTCCTCCCACTACTGTCACTAGTAATGTTATCATTATCTTCAATGAGACACAGGATATATTATAATAATTGTTAGTTTTATAGTAACTGCTGGTAGTTCCTCAACACAGCTGCTACTAGGACCAATCTGCAGGTAATGACATATTAATGAATGATTCAGTCACCGATGTACATACACTTAATGTTATAATGTACATCATTACACCATTAATTATCATTATTAATCATCTACTAGTAACCAACCAATAGTGACAACAAGGTGCATATACACCTTGATAATCACATGTCGTCTTTGTAATATGGATTGAATAGTATGAATCCTTCATAAAATGCTCATAACTGCCCTAACTTTGTCCTAATTCTAACTTTCGTTAATAATAAAAATTAATTAGCATAAACTTTTTGATCTGTGTATGACTAATTATAATCCTCTCCCATTCTTTTGTACCAGACCCTTTGAAGTTTACTGTCATACCAAATTACCATTATTTGTAGATCATTTAGTATCATACAGTAAGTATGTCATCTCCTCCATAGGAAGAGACACACAGTACATATATGGTACACTACTCAATTGTGTCTGCTGGAGTAGAGGAGGAGGTGTGTCTGTTATAAGGAGTGTATCTGTTAATAGTATCACATTGTACTAATAATAGTGATAATAGTATTTAATAATAATTGTTTTTAATAGTTGTTTGACGTTCCCAAACTGTTTGACTCCTCCCACTACTGTCACTAGTAATGTTATCATATCTTCAATGAGACACAGGATATATTATAATAATTGTTAGTTTTATAGTAACTGCTGGTAGTTCGTCAACAACAACGACTAATGAAGACCAATCATCTATTAATAAATGATTCAGTCACTAATGTACATTATATACTTGATGTTATAAATAGGAACTACTATCAATATTGGACCTCATTCATTGTATGTTAGTCCTCACTAAATCAATTAATGTTTAACATAATGTCACCTCCTCCACTTTATAATGAGACACACATTAACTGATCAATCATTAGCTGATACTAATGGGCTAATGTTCATATACTGTATATTACATACAGTCACTAGTCAATAAAGAAAATGGTGCATTTTAGCCTGATTCCTCCAATTTAAGGAGATTTCCATATAAAGGACAGTGGGCTGCCCATAGGTGTCGACCCTCTTAGAGAAAGGTTTTAATGTACTACCACTTATCATTATCTGTTATTATTATTATTATAGTTTTTTAACAACAGCTGCTACTATAAAGATTAATACCCAAAAGTATTGAGCAACTATCTATGGTATCTGGTAATGGGGAGGCCTAGATATGCTGTTATCTTTGGTAATAGTTTGTCAACAACACCTGCTACTAAAAATTAATACTCAAAGTATTGAGCAGCCATTTATCACTGGACTAATGGGGAGGTACATGGCGACATTTGACTATCCCAAATTCAATTGGCAAATGCACTACTCAAAGTTCTAGCAATCAGAATGAAACTTGGCAGAGACAGAGGTAGACTAGTAGCAGCAGGTATAATTATTATTTTTAATAATAATTATACCTGCTGCTACTAGTCTAGAAACTACTCAACGGTAATTACATATTAATAAATGATTCAATCACTGGTGTACATTATACACTGAATGTTATGAATAGGAATTATCATATTGTTCATTTACTCAGTAGTCAATAGCTGTATCATATACACTGGCCTTGACCACCACCTGCATAATGAATCCAGTTTGCATTTTGTAGGTAAGTTATGTTACACATTATCAGTGATACAGTATTGGACCTCATTCATTATATTTTAGTCATAACTAAATAAATTAATGTTTAACATAATGTCACCTCCTCCACATTATAATGAGACCCACATTAACTGATCAATCATTAGTTGATACTAATGACTAATGTAATCAACCAACAGCTACAACAATGTATACACTTGTTATTAAAGCAAAGGTAAGGATTCCTTATTAAATGCTCATAATTACTCAATCTTCCTGACTGTATGATAAAACATTGCTAGCATAGCCTTAGCCTACATAATGAATGATCAGTGAGTAACTAATTATGATTATATAATTCCAGGGGTCTAATTCTGTCCTTTTTTACTGTCCCATTAAAGTTTACTGTCATGTCCAATTACATACATTAATTTTTTACATTATCGATGATACAGAATGAATAGTCTGTGCTAGTTATGTCATCTTCACTGGAACAGCACACATTACATATGACACACTAGTCAATAGTGTCTGCTGGAGTAGAAGTGTCTGTTATAAGGAGTGTATCTGTTAATAGTAATAATAGTGGTTATAGATCTAGTATTGATAATAGTATTTGATAATTGATTATAGCAGAAATAATAATTACTACCTAATGTATTTATTATTTCTGATACCGTAGGGCGCCTTTTTTTTCGAGGGCTATAAATTTCGCAGATTTAATTTTCACGAATTTATGCCGTCTGCCATCTTGTATCGTATTAATTTGATTTTCGTGAAAGTAATTTTTGCGAATCTTTAAAAAATTGCGAAATCCGTGAAATTTATGGCTCTCGAAAAAAATGCGCCCTACGGTAATAGTATTTGATTTGATTATAGTATCTGTCTATAGTAATAATTTTAATAGTAGCAAGTCGTAAGACAAAGTTCTCTAAACTGTTTGAATGTTCCTACTACTGTTACTTACAATATGAGACACAGGGTATAATAATTGTTAGACTACTGGTAGTTCGTCAACAACAGCTGTTACTAAAAATTAATAAAGACCATGCAATTTTAATTATCAATGGTACAAAAAATATGAAGGAGGAACTATGAAGAAGGAGGATCTTATTAACAAACTTCTGAAGCCTAGCTACCCCTGAGTAGGTACAGTATAATTACATTAATGCAGCAATTCTCCCATTTCATGAGCGCAATTAATGTTGACATTGAATTTTGTCATATCAGTTTCTTGCAGGGGTGGATCTAGGATTTAATTTTTTGGGGCAATCATTAATGGGTGGGGTAATTATGGGGTGTGGTCAACCATTTATGGGTCAAATCATAGATATTAGAGTATTATAGGAACATCATAGATATTGATGTGCAAAACATGACAGAATTAGGAAAGTCAATATTATGAAGACTAAAGCCTGGTTTACATAATGACACATGGTCTTCCTTCAAGTGCTGTATAAATAAATGGCAGTGTGCATCAATATGTAATGATAGAATACGAGCCTATTCTGATGTTTTAAGGCATGTCCCCGGGCCATAATTCCCCCTTAGATCTGCCATTGGTTTCTCGTAATTAACTTGAAGATCAGCTGTTTTGTTGTGTGTGTATGTGGTACCAGCTCATTGTGACTGATTTTTAGCAGCTGCTGCCGGTGGCCCGGTTTTATTTGACTTAATAAATTTTAGTTGTTTTATGTATCTTTGAAAGTTTTTCTTTGCAGATTCATAAATAAATTACCTACTGGAGGTTAATAACTAAATAATAGTCTGCAATAATAGTTTGTGCATATGTAATACATGTAATCAGGGCCGTAGCCAGGAACTTAAAATAGGGGGTTCGGAAATTGCTGCGCGCGGAGCGCGCAGCGAAAATTTTGACGAAAATGGGCGTGGTTGGTAGGCGTGGTCTTAATTTACGCATCTCAGCCATGTGCTGACTCATCTAAAATGGCTATCTGTGCTTCTCGCTGTTGCCAAAATGCTAATCCTGCTTTTACAGTGCTGTTCTTCATGACAGGAGCTAATCTAAAAAAATTTTGCAGCTACAACAGGGGGTTCGTCCGAACCCCCCCCGAACCCCCCCTGGCTACGGGCCTGGTAATAGTAATAGTTTGATCTCAATAATATTCATCGCGGACTCTAGTCTCGGCAAGGGGCGTGGCGAGACTAATCGCGGCGCGGGCGAGTTGGAAGTCTATAAATAAAATCAGTGGACGGATTACACTTGGCTTTTCTTTTGTCCTGTGCCGGCTTGAAGTTAAATATGTCTTTTGATGAAGTGAAAGATCGCCTCTCTCGTTCTTTACCTCCTTACTTTGTGGAAGCCTACCAGACGTTATTAGATGTTGTTGGTATCAAATTAGATCCACAAGTCCTAGATTCAGCTACGAGGTTTAAAAAAGTATTGCAAGAGCATAAATCGAAAAAGTCAGAAGCAGAAGCGGTAGCATACGCACATGCTATTTTGACTGGTCTTGGATGGGAAGAACTGGATGACTTGGAGAATCCGGTCTTACTTGATAAAACGGTGCAGATCGATGACAGCTTGAACGAGGAGCTGAAGCGTTTCGAGAAATTTGAGCATGTTGTTTACAACGCTCTTAGGTCTTTGGGAGTTCAGTTCGATGGATACCAACTTAATAGGTATCTTTTGGCAGTCCAAGTTGTACTCGAGAAATTTGCCTCTTCTAATGAAGCCGATTTTCTTGAATGTTTTGTATCATTGAAGAATAAATTGGGTTCATGCTCACATGCCGTTGCATTCACTATAGCAGTACTGGAGAGGTCTGGCTGGGGACGTACTAAGATATTGAAACGATTTGCATCACCAAATTTTGATCTTAATGCAGCTTATCCTGAAGTTGATCTCTGCCTGACAGTTGCTGATTACTATGGTAACATGAGCGAGAGGGACTTCAGCAGTGCTAAGGTCTACACCTCTGCCGTTCATCTCAATCATAGGAATGTCAGTGGTCATAATCCAGTTAGTTTTACAATACTCCTACTGCAGCAGAATATTATAAAGGTTGGTGATGTATCCAGTATTGAGGATGGAATAAAGTTCCCCATATTTTTTCAAAAGTACAAAGAGAGGTGTAAAGGTGAGACAGTGCTGTTTGCATGCAAACATGACCATTCAGATAATTGTTATTAGGTTTCTTTTCAAGCACTAGTCATGAGACAGTTCCCAAGACTAAACCAGCTAGTTTCACAAGTAAAATAAAATTTATGTATAAACCCTGTTTTCAGTGCCTGTATAGCACCAATCAAGGAGAGGTATACCAAACTGATAGATAATTTTAATTTCTCACTGATGTTTGTTGCAAGTGAAGCTCTGAAAACAAAGTCTCTGGATGAAGTTAAGAGCTGTCTAGAAGATAAAGTGGTGAAGAATGAAGTTGATGCAGTTTCAGATGCAACATCTTTGGCAAAATTTCTTCAGCGATATTGTTTTTTTTCAAATTTTTCTTTACTAGAATTTATGATGAAAAAGCTTGACCTCAAAGAGTCAAAGCCAAACATTGACCAGCTAACTAAAGAGAGAGATAACTTCTATAGTGTAGTACTCGCCAAGGACTTTGCTGCTGCAGCAATTATAGATCACAACATACTAATTGAGCATCATGTGGAGGTATTTTCATTTAACATGCTACAGTACATGATATTATTAATTATTTAGATGACTGTTGTTGTGTCTTGGAATTCATCTGAGACATACCTAGCAAAATTTCAAGACTACATCACTAAAGCTTTTAAAAGTCACTCAATGTTTATAGCACTGCTAAAAGCTCTACACCACAGCTCACTATCATTTGTATGTACTATACCTGTCTGGGATGTAGATGCTATTCGTGCTGAGCCTCATGCATTACAATTACTTGGAGTTCAACGAATTATCATTGATAATGCTATTTTATATGTAAGTAATTGCTGTTTAAATTTGTAATAATGTATACTTTTGTGACTCTAAAATAAAAAAATAGGAAGCTGCCTCAGATAGTTGTGAAGCTGGTGGAGAGATCAAAACTCAGCAACAAGGTATACCATATTCTGAAATGTTTACTGTGACTCAGTTTTAATTACACAAGAAAATGAAATTTAAAAAATACAATTGCAACAAAATTTTGCTTCATTACATAATTATTATCCTTACATTTACAATGATTCTGATCTAGTATCATATAAGTATGTGTATTATATAATATGCATGCTATTGTTTAAGATTTATCATAATGATTTGGCAGCATCTTTAGGCCAATTAAGATACCTTGCAATCCTCATGAGCCTTAATTTGTTAAAGGAAATGCCTTTAACAACTATCATGTATTTTAATAAGAATTAATTTGTTTTGCAAAATAAAAGAGTGCAAAATAACTTTTTCTTCAATGAAAAGTGTAGTGAGACTAAACTTATGCTTATTTATATTTCGTGTTGTTTATTGGAGCATAACATATTTATTTTATATAGATCTTACTCCAATTCGACCTGTTCCAACCCCACCTTCTGATTTATTTCCAGAAATGAAAAATTTGAAGTTTGACAGTGATTACACTGATGATCTTGTTAAAGATATTGATTTTCTGCTGATGACTGCCACTGAAATAGAGCTAAGAGGAGTGCTGGGCTATCTGAAGCCGTTAGATGGTCGGAATAAAATTTTGCAAGCATTTGTACATGAGTGTACTTGGGTTTACATTGGAAAGTATGGGAAGCAGTCAGTTGTGGTTGGAAAAAGTGCAGATAGTAAAGGTCAACAAGGTGGTTTTGATGCTTTTGCAGTCACAAATAAGATAATGAAGATATTTAAGCCAAAATATATAATTGCAGTTGGAATCTGTTATGGAATGGACCCACAGCAAGTACAGCTTGGTGATGTTATTGTTTCTGAAGTTATCTATAACATATATAACTTCAGTTTGCAAGAAGGTAGTATCAAGTCTCGTAAAAATGAACATCCACAACTTCCAGTTGGACGAAGTCTTTTTTCATTATTTGCGAACTCTTATGGGTTCGAAATGAAGCATTCCAGTGATGAAAATGCCGAAAAGGTTGAAGTTCAGTGTGGTGACATTGCTTCTTTTCCTGGAAAGATTAATGATCTCAAATTTAAAAATCTATTACGAGATGGATGTCCTGATACTTTGGCTGGTGAAATGGAAGGAGCTGCAATATTCAAAGCTGCTGCTGAACAGAAAGCAGAAGCTATTGTCATTAAAGCTGTTGCTGACTGGGCTGATGGGAACAAGGATAAATTCAGAAGTTGGAAGGATTTTGCATCTCATTCAGCTGCTACATATGTTCATTATCAAATAAATAAGCTTCATGCAACTGCTTTGAAATCAGCAGAGTAGTGAACAGTTGTTTTGATTAGTTTGTGAATTTAACTTTGTGTGAAAACTTAAGCTTTGCAATTTTTTTGCTGCAGGCCTAGTTAGATTAATTTTAAGTTTGTGAAATTATTTTTGCCTGTGTGAAAACTTAAACTTTAGCATATATGATTATTCTTATTATTATTGTTGTTTTGCTTATTGTTGATTGTATCAAAGCAATTGCTTACAATGCAGGACAAAATAAAAGAAAGAAAAATGTAAATGTTCTTGAGTACCTATCTCTTAAGGCCAGGCAACCTTATGTACCTTAATAACATGTACATGTACATGAGTGGCTATAATCATTGTAGTAAATTCCTTAGTACACATCATTTACTAGTAGCAAGAGTAGGTTACAATCATTTTAGTAATCAACAGATACAGTGTGTGTGTGTGTGTTACAGTACATGGTCTTATCATCAGTGCAAATTTTGCCAAAAATTAAAAGCAGAAAATTTTTCATTTGTATGATTTTTTTCTGATGCATTTACATGCACTTATGTTGTGTAAAAAGTTTGAGCTGGTTTCAATCAAAATTTGATTTTTTAGAAAATTTATGAAGTTTTAAAGTTGCTTAATACATGTAGGATGCAATATTAACTTAATTCCAGTTAATTAATATATTGTTAATAATAATATCACTAGTAATGAATATATGTTGTACTATTATGTAATTGACTCATTATGTTATTAATATAAAGTAACTGGTAGTTAGTATATTGTCACTAATGATCACCTAATGATCAGTGAGTAACTGAAGTATTGAATTATAATCCCCAGGGGGTCTACTTCAGTAATTAGTACCAGACCCCTTGTTCCTAAATTTCAATTATTCGTACACATTATCAATGATACAGTATTGGACCTCATTCATTGTATGTTAGTCCTAACTAAATCAATTAATGTTTAACATAATGTCACCTCCTCCACATTATAATGAGACACACATTAACTGATCAATCATTAGCTGATACTAATGGACTAATGTTCATATACTGTATATTACATACAGTCACTAGTCAATAGTGTCTGCTGGAGTAGAGGAGGAGGTGTGTCTGTTATAAGGAGTGTATCTGTTAATAGTATCACATTGTACTAATAATAGTGATAATAGTATTTAATAATAATTGTTTTTAATAGTTGTTGGTCATAAGACAATGTTCCCCAAACTGTTTGAATGTTCTTATTACACAGTCAAACTCTCTAAAACAAACTCTTAATTAGCAGACACCTCTCTATGATATACAGTTGCTGTTGTCCTGGCCATAAGGCCATTAGGTAGCATATAAATGAACCTCTGTATAGTGGAACATGGCCTATGTGCATAAAATGTCTTCTCGAGTGTCTTCTGCTTAAGAGATTGTTGTTTCTCTGTCTTGTTCTCTCCCTCTCTTTATTATTGAGGAATATGAGAAGCTACTAGCTATCGTTAACATCAAGCTACCTCCTAATCCTTCTCAAGAGCCATCTCATAGATTCTGGGACCTGTTCAACGCCCACACAACACAGAAGGGATCATCATTAGAGGTTGCTGTTACTTACCTCCACACTATACTGAATGGACTGGAATGGAAGGAATTAGCTAAACTCAAGGTCTTTATCAAGAATGTTGTTAAAGTTGATGTAAAAGTGACTGAAGCATTGGCACGTGTTAAGAATGACCTCCCTAAACGTATTAATGATTTAGGAGATCAATTAGGAGAGTACCAGTTGAATAGATACCGTCTTGCTGTGTCCGTATTAGCAAATCAAGACCCCATCCCTCCTGAAATACCTTTAAATGAAGTGTACGACGACATTTTGTTAAAGAAATGTGGTTCCTATCCAGTTGCCATTGCATTCACAATCGGAGTCTTGGAGAGGTCAGGCTGGGGTGATACTAGGAGATTGAAACCTTTTGCTGACCGGAGTGTTGATTTTAATACACGATTCCCTAAAGTTGATCTCTGCCTCACTGTTGCTGATTACTATGGCAACATGAGCGATAGGGACTTCAGCAGTGCTAAGGTCTATACCTCTGCCGTTCACCTCAAGAACCACAGTGTCTCTAACAAGAATAGGATTGAGTTTACGCTACTACTGATGAAGCGTAATGTTATAAGTGTTGGTAAAGTCTCTAACATTGAGGATAAAGTACGTTATCCTATCTTCTTTAAGGACTACAAGAAAAGAAGTGAAAGTAAGATTTATTAAAACTTAGTGAATGTTTTGAGACAGACAGAGAATTTTTTGTTTTTTTTAGACAAAGAGCTCCAGCATATTTACTGCACTGCTGCTAGCTGCAGCAATCTAAAGGTGTGGCTGCAATGAAGGTGTGGCTCAATCAAGCCATGCTCCACCCGCACACACAGTAAATGGTGGCACATGGCCCTAAGTGGTGAAGAAAGCTTTAGTTTTTCTCGACTTTTAAACAGTTTAGCATACATTTGTTAGGCTCTATTTGTTGCATACAAACTGCTATCTAGTTCCTAATGTTAAAAGACTCTGGCCGCTACCTCGGGAGAAGAGAGCCTCGTCTAAACTCACAAGGTATGAAAGTTTGGGCTATCATATCTTTAAAACGAAGAAGATTTGAGCAATTCCTCTCATATTAATGAAAGATGAGGCTTTGCTTTATTGTTTTATCTGCCCTGTTGCTCTTTTGCTTTCACTACGAAAGAGCTGCAGGAGAGCCGACTACGTTTGGCGACTTTGCCAGCTTCTTTTACCACGGAAAAGACAAATCAAGGATTCCCAAGACGGAGAATAACTTTTTCTAGAGCCAGTGTTGATTATAAGACTCTCTAGGACAAGACAAGAAAGCAGTGTCAGCTCAAAAGTGAAGGTCAAAGCGAACACACAGACAGGACGACTGCTTTACCCTCGACCAACGCCTACGCGGTCTCGGGTAACGACCAACGCCTACGCGGTCTCGGGTAATAATGATTTTCATATCTAGATACAGCATCTGAATGTACTGAAGGTTCTGAGCAACCATCTGTCACTGGTAAAGAGGAGGTATATAGATATTGTTGTAATAATTGTTATTATAGTTTCTCATGGGACAACAACAGCTGCTACTAGTTTAGAAACCACTCAATCATCAGGTAATGACATATTAATAACTGATCCAGTGACCACTAACTGATGTACATTATACACTTAATGTTATAAAATTAGGAACTACTGCAGCATCTTATTGTTCATCATCTACTGATTCTGGTAAACAATCAATATCTTATTCTATAATGATCTATCTTTAGATGCTGTTCTTGATGCTGCTCTTAAAATGAATCAAGTGGTCAAGTTTCTAAAACCATTGGAATCACAATGGCGTATGATAAGATTATGTCTTGAAGTAGATTTAGATGAAGATGAGCTAGTTAAAAAAGACCATGACAATAGTTCCTGTCTAGCAGCAGTACTTGATGCCTGGTGGAAGAGAAGCCCTGTAGTGAGGCTTTAGGAGATAATGATAATGTGAAGAATGAAACAGAAACATTTTTATTAAGACAGTAAATAAAATTGTAAATTCATTTAAAGGATAATAACTATTTTTAATTCTGCTATGCCTGGTTATGAACTCCTACCTAACCATGAAGGTTGTCTCTAAAAAGCGGACCGGACCTGACCAACGGACCCGAAAAGACTAATTTACGGACCGAGCGACGGACCCGATACAAACTAATTTATGGACCCGACCAAGGGACCCGAAAACACTAAAGTACGGACTCCTCGTTAATGACCACGGACCTGACTGATTAGTAGCATCATGGTAGCATAGCATAGATATCTATGCTAGCATCAGTATTTATGATGCTAGCCGCCAACTCCATGATGGCCAAAACAACATACAGATCTTCAGTGACAATTTTTGGACTCGCCGCGTAGGCGGGTATTAGGTAGTTTGGTTGTCTGTCATTCATTCTGTCCGTTTTTAATGTCTTTTTAAAAATACATAACTTTAAAATTTCATACTCTAGGCTTATAGATCTTTCTCTACAGCTGGCAAAAGTCTTTCTTTATCGTCTAATAATGTTTAAAGAGCATTGCCGGGGAGAAGAAGCTTACAAAGCAAGGAAAACTGATTTTAAAATACTGCAATTGTGCTGACACTTTCGACAAAGATAACACCATTTTCCAGTAGATCTTTACCATCTATTTCATTAATATGTGTAGAATTTCTTAACTCTTATTTGGTAGCGACTTATGAGCCTTCAAACTTCAGGTCTGCTAACTTTGAGAAGGGCTGGAGCAGAAATATGGTAGGCTAGAGGTACTAAACTCTGTCAACTCACTCACATCTACCTA